CTTTGATGCTCTTGCTGACTTGATGAGTCTTCCCTCCCTCCCAGATTCAGGCTTCTTCAGGGGAAACCAAATACAATGGGTCCTTGGACTGTGCAAAGAAGCTGTACCAGGAGTCTGGGATCCGAGGCATCTACAAGGGGACTGTGCTCACCCTCATGCGAGGTAAACTTTAAGGCCTTCTACCTGAGGTCACCTTGGGATGCTTACCTGAGATGGATTTGCCACAGACGGTCTTGCCTGGATCGCCAGATTAGCCTTGGCACCGTACATGCCACAGCTCTGACAAGGCTGGCACTGTATGTCCAGGCAGTCTCACCTCTGTCCATCATGGACAGAAATGAAGATGGGGGGGCACCTTCCATTTTTCTAGTAGACTGGCCCTCAAGGGGAGAAATCATGACAGTGGCGATGGGAGGAGAGTGGCAAGTAGGTAGAAATTGTAGCTGGAGGGATGAGTGGGAAGAAAGAGTGACTTAGGAACAGTGGGGCTCTCCCTGGTCTCAAGAGGCATGTCCTGCTGGGGTGGCAGTAGGAGACGCAGAGATGGCCCCACCTTTGTCCTGAGATGGCAGCTTAGAGGAAGGCCAGATACTAGCTGTGGTTATAGCTGTTTGGAGTGCACATGTCGTTGGGACCACTCAGGAGGGACTTTGAAGATGAAATGATGGCATGTGTGTTTACACCCACTCACACCGGTGCTTGCCCCCGGGCAGCCTCTGGTCACTGCAGAGTGATTATTACAAATGGGAAGGATCCAGTGCCAAACGTGGCTCTGTTAAGCTCAAGAAATCTGTGAGCATTTTATATAATTTAATTCACCTCTTTCTTATGACTAACAGATGTTCCAGCCAGTGGGATGTATTTCATGACATATGAGTGGCTGAAAAATACCTTGACTCCAGAGGGAAAGAGGTGAGGAGAACAGAAGAATTTAGAAGCCACTTTGGTCAGCCATGGGTAGGTGGCCTTTTCCTGTGAGCGGGTCTGGTGGCCGTAGTGGGACTTGCTGCTGGCTCCATGTCCCCTTTCCTCTCATTGCTGCTGAGGCCCAGCTGACATCTCTTACTCTGTGCCTCACCCAATGGAGCAAGCATCTGAAACAAGTGCATGAGCCTCCTCCAAGGAGTGACAGCTGCCGTGTCACAAGAGCCCTAGCCTTGAGCTTCCTCCCTCCAGCCCATTTCTCCTTCACTGTAACTGCCCTGTCTGCCACAGGAAGGATGGTCTGAAAGCTACTCTCGCAGCCTTTGTCTGACTGTGGTTGGTGTTCTGCAGTGTCAGTGAACTCAGCGTGCCTCGGATTCTGGTGGCTGGAGGCATCGCAGGGATCTTCAACTGGGCTGTGGCAATCCCCCCAGACGTGCTGAAGTCCCGCTTCCAAACTGGTTAGTGGAGGGTAGTGGGGTGGACAGGAGTGGAGTAGGTCCAGGAACTGGCTGCCCCTGGGATGCAGAGCTCATAAGGCCCAAGGGATACTCACTCTCCACAGCACACCCACAGCATCTGTCTGACCAGCATCTCCCTTGGAGCCATTTGTGTTCTAGGAATCCTAGACTTATATTCATGTTGGCCTAAACACAAAATCAGTGAGATAAGAAGTCAAATCAACTCTCCTTCCCCCACATGAGCAGAAGGACTGTTTCATTGTTCATTTCTTTTCTCCATTCCCTCGGCACCAGTAATCCAGCCATTTGTGTCTGTTTGTCCCGAGGTGAATTGTGTTGTCTGTGGACTGGTCCCAGATGACTTACAGGATGTCCTCTCCCTGGTGCCTGTGAACCTGCAGGAAGACTTGACTACAAGATTGTGCTCATGTGTGTCACCATGGTCAGGTCAGGAAGCTTCCTAAAGCCTTAACAGTTGGGTTTTGCCCACAGCACCTCCTGGGAAATATCCTAATGGTTTCAAAGATGTGCTGAGAGAGCTGATCCGGGATGAAGGAATCACATCCTTGTACAAGGGGTTCAATGCCGTAATGATCCGAGCCTTCCCAGCCAACGCGGTGAGTGGCTGGCAGGGGCTGTGCTTTTTCCCTTTGGGGTTCAGAGCAGGTTGCAGGTGGGCTGACTTTTGCTTGCTCCTGGGATTAGATAGGGAGCTCAGTTTTCCCAAAACCCACCCTCAGCCAGAGCCTCCTAATTTGCTGTCTTTCCTGAAGCTGTCAGGAAGATTTGCCTTTGCGATTCTCTGAGGTGAGGGACCTTGATTTCCTGACCTGGCTATCAGAGTGGGCAGTTGTGAGATATGCATTTCTTCCCCTTTGGGGAATGAGAAAGCATAGCTTGATTCCCTGGCCTGGGGTGGGAATGAGGTTGTGGAGGGGTCCTGGTCCTGTTGGGCCAGCCAAGCACGGTACTGGCATCTCTGTGAATAATCACAACTCCTGCCTTTTCTTCCAACCCCTTGTCAGGCCTGTTTCCTTGGCTTTGAAGTTGCCATGAAGTTCCTTAATTGGGCCACCCCCAACTTGTGAGGCTGAAGGCTGCCCAAGGCTTTGGATGCTGGAAGCTGTCGCCAAAGAGGAGCAGTGGGCAGAACTAGGTCATCTTGAAGGGTGAGGGGAGGGGGATAGTGGGATCAGAGCTCTGTGCATGGACTTGTTGAGACCGTTTGCCTTAATGACATCTTCTACCTGGTATAACTTGGTGTGCTGTTTTGAAACTTGAATTCACTCTTGTCTATTTAAGGGATCTCAAGAGGATTTGGAGATGGAGTAAATGTTGCCAGAGTATGTCTACTGGTTGATACTAGCCCTGTTATACCCAAAATACTCATCTCGAAAGAGGAAATCTCAGCCTATCACTGGAGGCACTATGAAGGTTTTCAACCAGCTGACCAGGAGCTGGGGTCTTCTTTGATCCCTAGCCAGGAACACCCACCAGTCTTTCAGGGTACTGTCCTATCCTGGCCTGCACGTGGGGATGTGGACTTGAGGCCCACGTCTGTCTGTGAAGTGGACTGAGCAAATGTGTAGGGACAGATAGCCTGATAATAGTAGGGTTGATTTTTCCTTTTTTAGGCATGCAAGTAATTAAAATTGAAACTAGAGTGGCTTAATTTCCCAGGAGAAGGTGGAAAGCTTTCCCTCCTACACAGTGAGGAGAGTTTTGAATCAACAGTCCCAGTCTGCTGGGATACGTGAGAAAGCAGAGTATAGGAAGGCTTTTTGCACGCTCTTTTCTCATGAGAGCCCCCTATTTTAACAGGAAACAATAAATACTGTTTAATTTTTGCATTGTGTGAGACTTTTTCTTTTGATTCTGAGTCATTTTAGCAGGCAGTCTGTGGCCTTGGTAGAGGCTGTCAGGGATCCAGTATCCTTCCCTGATTGCTTCAGGCAGGGGCTCCAGTAAAAGAAAGAGGGGGCAGTTTTGGCCAGCCCAGCCTTTTCTGACTGCTCCAGCTCCAGCTGCTTGAGGGAGAGTGGGCTGGGGTGGGGCTGGGCGACTTGATTGGTAATTGTTCCCACAGCCTGGCATGCAGGCCCCACAGCCCCAGGCTGCAGCTCATCTAGTCATTCCTTAGCCTCTGCCCTTAACTACATAGGTGTCTCAGCTAACAGGTCAATTGTTCTAAAAGGCCAAAAGCAGTCGGGAGTTTTCATAAGGGCTTCGGGTTGCTGTGTGATCTGATGTCACCAGCCTGGCTTTACTCATCAGGCTGAGGATGATGCCCAGGTGCTGCCCGAGAAGGTGAGGGAGTGGAGAGTCACAGGCTAGTCCTTGTCTGGTGGAGGGTGAGGTTACCAGAGTTGGGCTTCTCTGGCAACGTCCCGTCTAGCAGTCACGGTCACTGTTGCACTGGCACTTCCCCCCTTGCTGCAGCTGCACAGAGACCCTTGGACTTTGGCTTTAGAGCCACCGCTTTATGTAAATGGGTGAGTGGGGCAGGGACCCACACCCATCCGGGAGTGGTGTGGCCAATCTGGCAGGAAGCTGAAGATTTGAGGCTTTACGGAAGGAGGCTTTATTCCTGGGAAAATATTTCTGGATGACCAGATAGGAATTATGGTCAAGTCAAAAAATAACATTTTTTAGAGATGAAAATTGCCTGGGAAGATTAAATCAGTGCCCCTCTCATGCTGTGGGACATCTGTTTAATCTTTTTCATTTTAGGATGACCACATATGTGTCTCCCAAAACTCTTCTCAGCACCACCCCGTTTTTGAGCGGGTCCTGAAAACTCAACCTTTGCTCGAAGCCGCTGGGAGTTCATTTGCATTCCAGTGAAATGCCAGCTAGTCCCTTGGCTCAGGATCACTTTTACAGTCTGTGCTTCTGTATACTTTGCCCTTTGAAATAGCTTCTATTTTAAAATGAAATGTTTTGGTTCCTTGATGGTGGTGGTGGTAGATTCTCTTACTCTGCTGGGTTTTCAATAGATGTTACGCCAAATAGGGAAGCCTCTGGAGGCATATTTGTGAAGGGAGCAGAGCAGATGGTGAGTAACTCCCTCCTGGCTGGCCCTTCCTTTTTATGATGTACTTTGAAATGCCACCTGTTCCTGATATATCTCTTCTCTCCCTAATGGGGGTAAGGATAGGGGAGAGATCAGGGCCCTCCCCAGCAATTTCTCTGTCGCAGAAAGTCTTAAGTAGAAGCTAGACAGTAATTGTTAAAACAATCAGCTGGTGTTAACAGCCTCACTCAGGCACAAAGCAGAGTATAACTGGGTCAAAGGTGAAGGACAGAGAGCAGGTTGTTGGAACAGCAGCCTATTAGAAGCAATAGTAACACCGGATCTGCTCTCCTTACATTACCATCTCTACTCACAGTTCTCTCCTCACCATTCTTTTGAGGCTGGAACTCCCTATGCCCTTTCTAACCTCCAGGGGTGCATTCTCATCTCTTTATCCCCAAGTAACTCGTTGATTTTTACCCCCACTTTCAGATGTGGAAGCTAAGGCTCAGACAGGGTAAACTGATCTGCTAAGATCATTGGCAAGTTGATAACAAAGTGGAGATAATTGAGTGATGTCTAAAGAAAGGCTTGTGATGCTATCAGAGGCTGTCCTGGGGCTACTTGACACAAACTTCAAGAGGCTTGTCTGTACCGCAGGGTCAAAGCCCAGGCAACTGGCCTGTGAATCAGGCTAGGAGTGTCACACAGAGTCCCAACAGGCACGGGCAAGTCCCCAGGGCCAGGTGCCCCCAGGGGCTCCCTTTTCTGCTTTCTCTGCTCTGGTCTGGTGCAGCTCTCTGGCCCTTCAGCCAGGCTCTCCCTTGCTTCCCAGGTTCTCTCTTTGCCCTGAGGTATCTCAGAGACACACTCTAGGTCCACTGCAGAGACTGATGCTTTCTTGGGACACAGTGTTCTACAGAGTAGGGTGGCTCACAGGTACAAGAATAGGTGGCCCAGGAATTGACTGCTCCCTGGAGCAAGGACACTTGTTAAAATAGACCAGACTTCCTGGACCAAAAGCAGTGGCCTTGTGGGGGAGGCATTATGGATGCTGAAGAAGGCAGGGGAAACATTGCTCACTTCACCAGTTCCTTCTGCCCACTAGAGGCTCATGAATACTTCTAAGATAAAATAGAAACTGATGGTGGTAGATACTAAATTATCTAGGAGGACAGGGCTAGGGGGGCTGGCATGTAGAAGTGGTCAGGTGACCAACAGGTCCCAGGAGACAAGTGCAGGACTGGAGTGGCCAGAGAAGCAGCCCCTTTGGGCAGAGAAGAGAGAGGTGTACCCGTTGGGGCTAAGTCCCTCCGGCCTCCTTCAGTGGGCAGAGGGCACCGGAGGGCAGAAGATGTGTAAACTAGGGGGTGTGTGGGCCAAGAGCAGGCCTCCACAGGAGTCTGGGGGAAGTTTGGGCATCTATTCTTCCTGAAAAGAGAGGAGAAAAAAACCTTTTAAATAATAACCCTATCAAGAGCACATAAAATCCACGATATCATTGGAAATAGTTGTTGGTACCCTACCCATGTTAATTTTCACCAGACCCACTGCTGTCAGGCTAAATGTGTGCCCTACTTGTGTTACTCTGCATCCATAGTTGTAAACATCTCTTTGAGAATTGGTCCCATTGTGTCCATGTCTGCCTGTGGTTGGTGTTGTGGCAGTCTGTGCAAGATGTTGACTTCCTGCTGGGTAGTGACTAGGAGTGGGTTGGAGTTGAGCTCCCGTCAGGGCCCTGGGGTCTTGTCTTCTCTACCACATTCCATATATTTCTTTTGCTTTTGGGGATCTCGACTCTTGGTCTTTTCCACCTATCCTCACTTACAGCTGTTTCCCAGTTCCTGGCTGCATGTGGGTTTGGTTTCCATGGTAACCCCCAGTGATACAGCTGGATAGGCTTGAATGAAGGCAGTACTAGGAGGACAGGGGTAGAAGATGTGGGGCTCAGGTCCCTGGTATTCGCTTTTACTTCAGGGTCTCCTTCTTTGGCCAGCTCAACAGGGCATTCATGAAGGCCCCTGGGACTCCACTTGCTACTGAAAGGTTTCCCAGAAGGGGCAGAGATGGATCCCTGCTCTGGGGACCAGGTGCTAGGGGAGGGGAGCCAAGTTGGGCCTGGAGACTTACTCTGAGGCTAGTCTGTGGAGACAGGTAAAGAGCCTCATTCCCTCCAGGTCCAAGGATGACTTTGCTGGCTGCCTGGCTGACCAAACCGTAGGGCATCTGAGAACAAGCAAGGCAGAACCAGCCTGCTTCTGGCAGAGGCTGATGGGGGTTGCTTGGAGCAACTGGGAGAACCTACCCACACCCAGCTGTGCATCAGCCCTGGAGTAGCCTCCCTCTACCCTATTTTGTAATTGAGGTCAGAGTCCTAACTTTACAGATGCCTGTCTCCCCCTTAAAACATATAAAACCTGACAAATGGACATACTAGGGAGTGGAGCTGTGAACTTGCTTTTCCAAAAGGTTGGTTGTAGGATTGTTTGAAGTAGGACAGATCCCCAGGTGTGGTGGTGCAATGCGGGTCACACCCCAGTTTCCTGGGTGTGGGCTGACTCCTGTAAAACGTAGAAGGGTCTGTCCACCCAAGAGCAAAGGAACTCTGCCCCTCCAACCTCTCACTGCCTGTCCTTAGTGAAGTCTTTGTATTCTGAGATCAGAAGCACAGCTTTGCAGCAAAAGATCCTAATTCTGAGACTGAGGTCAGGAGAGCAGTTTAATTGGCTCTGCTTGCTGTGTGGAAATTTGTCATTTATTTATTCAGTAAACCCTTTCCAAGGGTGTGCAGTTAGCACTCAGCAAGGAATAAATTGGACACTACCCCTCTCCTTACAAAGTTGGTGGTCCAAGACTCCTTCAAGGGGTCAAGAAACTTGACCAGGGAGACACTGCTATTTGAAATCACAGGCTGCCTGGCCTAGAGCCTGGATGGCTTCCAGTGGGGATCAGGTGCTCCTGCTTCCAGAAGCTCAGTTCCCAGCAGCGCTGAGCTCCTGGGTGTGTGCCAAGCCAAAATGAGATATCCTAGTGATTTTAATTAATACTGGTTAATTACCAAGTGGAGCTTAACCATCGCAAATGCCTTTCAGGTTCCCAAGCCTATAGCAAGTCACTTTCTGGTGTGGCACAGCAAGGAGAGGGAGGACTCTGTCCTATGTCCACTGGGCCTTTGGTCAGTGTCTAGGCTGTGGGATGGACATTCCAGGGAGGCCTCCACCTTTTTCTGTTCCTTTGCGGTCTGGTGTGGGTGAAGAAGGCAACCTGGAAAATACACTGGCCCCGCCAGTTTTCCTATGTCCCTGCCCAGGCGCAAAGGATAATGCCTGTGTGGTCTGCTTTACACCATCAAACAGTGTTGGCCCAGGACCCAGGGTGAAGTGTGGAGAGAGATGGGGTGTCCGACCTAGTCCTGGGAATCCTGGTGGGAGTGCTCAAGAGAACGAACAGGCACAGAGGTCGTTCTTGCTATTGGCCTTATTCCCTTTTCTCAAGGTACATGCTTGTCCTAGTGAGCTCTTCAGGCTTCTTTCTCTGCCTGTGGTTCCCAAATTACTGTATCATTGAAACTCCTACTATCCACAAGGCCTTCACCGTTTGATATATCACAGACCTCCTGCCAGACTTCTGAGGGTCTTATGGTCTTTCCACCATTCCACCCAGCGGCCAGGGTTGTCCATGCCTTTGCTCTGCCATGTCCGCTATGCTCAGATGGCTCTCCTCCAGAGCTTCTTGTGGTCCAGTTCTGTTCAGGCTTCGGAGTAAACTTGAATTTCACCCTTGAAGTGGGCCCTCTTGCTCTCCACCACAGCCAGAACGGTAATGTGTTCCTGCGCCTCCCTCTGGGCTGTGTCTCTGACGCCTAGTAAGTGCTGGCAGGGCCGGAGGCTCTTAGCATGTGTTTAAAGAATAAATGAAAGGTCTTCATGACTAGGTAAGAGGTAATGATGACTCCTCTTGGCCGGTATATCACTCATTCCAGCTCCTTAACCAGGGAATGGCCAGAGCCGGCTGGCAGCTCAGCGGCGCACGCGCACTGAGGGCCGGCGCTCGGCGGAGGCGCGCACGCCCGCGACAGCGTGCGTCACAACCCGGGCTCCTGCTCCGCCGTCCCGCCTGCCAGCTCGTCGGTCCCCGCGGCGGCGGCGGCGGCTGCTCAGTGACAGCGGCGGCGGCACCAGGACGACCGTAGCTTGGGTAGGGTCGTGCGGCCCGGAAACGCACAGCCGGCCGAAGGGCGGCGCGGCGCGAGGAAGGCCTGACCGGGGTCGCGCGTGAGGAGACCTCGCGGGCGCCCGGCGAGAGGCGGGCGTGAGGGAGAGCGGAGGCAGTGGCCGCCGGCGGCCCGGACCCGCCAGTCCTCGCGGCCGCCGCCGGCATGAGCCACATCCAGATCCCGCGGGGGCTCACGGAGCTGCTGCAGGGCTACACGGTGGAGGTGCTGCGGCAGCAGCCTCCAGACCTCGTCGACTTCGCGGTGGACTATTTCACCCGCCTGCGCGAGGCCCGCGCCCAAGCCGCCAGCCCGCCCGACACCCCTCCTTCCGGCTGCCAGGGTCTAGAGCCCAGCCCTGGCCTTGTCGCCGACGCGAACGAGGGCAGCGAGACCGAGGACGACGAGGACTTGGACGGTAGGCGGCGGGTTGGGCCGAGGTTTGTGGGTCGGGGGACGGAGGGAGCGGGGCAGAGGGTCTCTAGAAGGCTAGAGGGGCTGCGAGGGTCCAAGCCAGCAACCATGGGCGGGGACCTTGGAGCAGAGTATGTCGGGGCTCCCCGAGCCGCGGGCGTGAGCCTCCCGGGCGCCACTTCCAAATGGAGCTCCTCGCTGTTCCGAGCCCAGGAACGCACAGAGTGAGTTGTCTGATTCAGCCTGGAAGGAAACGTGCGCTCTTTTGGCCCGCGTGGTGTCGCGGAGTCCGCCTCCGCTTTGCTGGAGGAGCCCTTGCCTCTGCTGGAGACCCTTTGCCCGGTTTCGTTCCGAAGACAAGAACCGACTCGTGTACTGTTTGGAAAATTATTTTGTGAAAAGTTATTGGAAGAAAACTTTAAGCATAGACAAAAGCAGAGAAAAAAAAGATGAAATAAACCCCTAGATCCCATCACCCACATTCAGCAGCTTAAATGTATCACAAATGTTTTTCATCTATACTATTTTTTTTTACCTTTGCTGAATTTTTTTTAAAGCAAATCCCAGTAAGATTATTTTACCCCTGCATATGCATTTCTTAAAATATGGACCCTTGGCAATATATATATATATATATATATATATAGTTTTTAATTTGGCTAAAACAATGGGATCAAATTTGGTGAGGGTAAACAGTAACTGTCTTGTTTAGCATTTGGGGTGCAGGAAAGAAGACAACACTTTCCACGTCTGATTTAAGCAAGGTTGTCAAAAAGGAATTCCATTTACCTTGGTTGCTTCAACATAGGCTTTATCAATTTAACAATAGAGCCACCTACTTTTGAATAGCCAAAATTTAAGAAAACAAAACATTTGAGAGACAAAGTTAGAAACTTAGTGTTATTAGATCATAGTGGAAAAAAAAAAAACTAGTTCTGAGTTGAATCCACATTAAGTCATGCTGGCAAGGAGTTAATTATTGGTCATTGCTGTTGTGTGCTTCAGTGTTCTGAACAACTTCCTGCGTTTATTCATGCTAAGAGTAGAAATTGCGCTTAACTTAATTATTGCACATTAAATTATGGGTTTTTCACCTTAAGCCTGGAAATCAGAAATTGTTGTTTCCCAGATCTCTGCCACAGATTTGCTTTGTCTAAAACAAGTTGTCAAACCTGTTTGGTTTCAGATTTACTTATCTTTAAAACAGGGACAGTAACAACAATTTCCCAGGGGTAAATGTGTTTTTAAAAGCTTTATTTTTTCCCCTTCCCCGATTCCCCAACGCTGTTCCCCTCCCCCAATTTCCCAATAAAATCTTTAAAAAACAAACAGAGAGCCAGCTGAGTGGCTCAGTTTGTTAAGAGCTTGCTCAAGATTGCAAGCTCTGAGCAACCACGGTTCGATGCCCTGCCCTGCTGAGCTGCTGCTGAGCTGCCAACAGGTGGCAGGATGGCTCAGCTAAAAAACAAAAATCTTTATTTTAGGAGTGACTCCTATGTTTGTTTCATTGTCATATCTACAAATCACAAAGCTGTAACCTGCTTTGTGACAATTTTTTTTTCTGGTCTCATGTTTCTTCTTTAAAATTTATTTTTCAGTTACAGTTGGCATACAATATGGGGTGAAGTGGTCACCCCATAAGTCTAGTACCCATCTGCTACCATATATAGTTACCACTATCTTATTGACCACAATATTCTCTATGCTGTTCTTTACATCCCCGTGACTATTTTTATAACTGGCAATTTATACTTCTTAATCCCTTTCACTTTTTTCATCCGTCCTTCCACCCCCCCCCCTCCATCTGGTGAGAATGAACACCAATTGCAGCAGCTTTTATTTACACAAAACTTTAGAAATTAGTTCCAGATGAGTAAAATGGAGTTGATGAGTTTTGTGTTATGTCTTCATTCTTTGTTATTTTTGATATCTTTTTCAAAATTAAGTGGACTCAAATCTTTGTAATCCTGTGCTTTATTTTTCTAGCATTTAAATGTTTTTTTGTTTATATCTCTTAAGTGGCTGTGCTACATATAATTATAGAAATCAACACAATGTGAACATCTATTTACAAATAATAGACTAAAACATTGCACACAATGAGATACCACTTCACACTCATGAGGATGGCTATTATGAAAAACAAAAACAAAAAATAGCAGGTGTTGGTGAGGATGTAGAGAAGTTGGAACCCTTGCTCACTGCTGGTGGAAATGTAAAATGATCTGACTGCTATGGAAAACAGTTTGGTGGTTCCTCAAAAAATTAAACAGAATTAACATATGATTGAGCAATTCCGCTGCTATGTATATACCCACAGGAATTGATAACGTAGTCGAACAGATACTTGTATGCCAATGCTAATGCTCAAAGGTCACAGTGTCCCATCAACTGATGGATGGATAAACTAAATGTGGTGTGTACATACAATGGAATACTATTCATTCTTAAAAAGGAATGAAACTCTGATACATGCTACAACATGGATGAACCTTGAAAACATTATGCTAGTCAATATGCCAGACACAAAAGAACAAACATTGTACGATTCCACTTATATGAGATACCTAGAATAGGCAAATTCAGAGACAGAAAGTATTGGGTCGTCGGGAAAGTCCTGACGTATTTTTCTTTGTTTTTCAATGCAAAAATGCGTCATGACTTTCCCGATGACCCAATAGAAAGAGGTACCAGGGGCCGGTGGAGCAGGTAATGGGGAGTTATTGTTTACGGAGTGCAGAGTTTCTGTTTGGGATGATGAAAAAGTTCTGAAATTGGATAGGAATGATTGTTGCGCAATGAGAAGGTACTTAATGCCATGAATTGTACACTTAACTAGTTAAAATGGTAAATTTTATGTTTTGTATATTTTTCCACAGTTTGAAAAAGACAAGAAATTGCATATCCAGTGATTAGGAACATTAGGATAATAAACCTATAGCACCTAAAATTAGAAATAGGATATATAGTGTTAGAGCTGTAAGTAGCAAGAAGACTGCTTAGTTAAGTTCCTGTATGGCTAACCACCAACTCAGTTTATTAAATTGTATGCTATTGGAAACACTCGAAAAGTTTATTAGCTGTCATTGGTTTGTTTTATTAACAGTTTAGATATCAAACAGCACACCAAGTATGAAGTATTTTGATGAGTGTTTAACTCTTGGGAAAGCATGAAGAGTTTAGATTTATTAATAAGCTACTCTAACCGCATAATCATAAGAACAATAAATTAACATTCAGACTTGATTCACTTCTGTAATTATCATAAAACATTTATACTTGTAGGTCTCCCAGCATTTTTTTGGTAACAGCTTAATTGAGATAAAATTCATGTAACATATAATTCACCCATTTAAAGCATATAATCCAGTGGTTTATGTATACTCACAGATATGTGTGACCATCACCATAGTCAATTACAGAACATTTTCATCTCCCCAGTGAGAAACCTCATACACTTTCTGTCCCTATAGATTTGCCTATCATGGATATTTCATATAAATCAAATAATACAATATATGGTTTTTCGCCCCAGCTTCTTTCACTTAACATGATGTTTTCAAAGTTCATCAATGTTGTAGCATATCTTAGTGCTTCATTTCTTTTTTTTTTAATTGGGGAATTGGGGGATGGGAACAGCGCTGGGGAATTGGGGGAAGGGGAAGGGGAACAGACAAGTTGCAGTCGTTTTTGTTCTTCAGTCTAGTTGTGGAGGATGTTGCTTCACTGGCCCAAGAGTGGCACCATCAAGTTGCACTCTTCCTGGGCAAGGCAGATCAGTCGCCGGTTTCTGGACGGCTGCTCACTGTGGCTGCTGGCCGCTCACGCTGGCTGCTGGCTACACACGGTAGCCCATGGCAACCCACTGCCACAGGGGCTGCAGCCTACGCCGTCGCCGGGGACTCATGGCAGCCCAGCTCCAGGTTGAGCTGTTGTTCAGCATCTTAGCTGTAGAGGGCAGTGTCACGGGCCTCATACGTGGGATCTGAACCTGAGCTGTCTGGCGTCCCAAGCCAGCTCTTAACCAATGCGCCACTCAGACGGCCCAGTACTTCATTTCTTTTATAGTGCTGAATAGTATTCCTCTGTATGCATATACCACATTTTGTTTATCGAGTCTTAAGTTGATGGACATTTAGGTTGTTTCCACTTTTTGACTATTATGAATAATGCTGCTCTGAACATTCATATGTACAAGTTGTTGCGTGGATATATATTTTCATTTCTCTTTGGTATATACATAGGAGTAGAATTGTTGGGCTGTGTGGTAACCTTTTGAGGAACGGGCTGTGTTCCAAAGTGGCTGCACCATTTTACGTTCTAACCAGCAGTGTATTCAGAGTTCTAATTCCTCCACATCCTTGTCAACACTTAATTTTTTATTACAGCCAACCTAGTGGGTGGGAAGTAGTACCTCATTGTAGTTCTGCTTTGTGCAGTTCCCTAATGACGTTGAGCATCTTTTCATGTGTTTGTTGGTCATTTGTGTATCTTCTTGAGAGAAATGTCTCTTCAGGAGTTTTGTCCATTTTTTAATTGGGTTATTTGTCTTTTTATTATTCAGTTGTAAGAGTTCTTTATTTTAAACAAGTTCTTTATCAAATACATATATGATTTATAAATATTTTCTCTCATTCAGTGTGTTGTTTTTCTCACTTTTTTGATAACTGTCTTTTGAAGCACCAAAGTTTTTAATTTTGATGGTGTCCAATGTATTATTTTCTTTTATTTGTGCTTTAGGTGCCATACTTAAGAAACCATTGCCAAATCCAAGGCCTTGAAGATTAACCTCTACGTTTTCTTAAGTTTTATAGTTTTAGCTCTTATCTTTAGGCCATTGGTAATTTTGTATTATTTATTGTGTAAGGTGTGAGGTACTTTATCTTTTTTTTTTTTTGGTAGCTGAGCCATCCTGCTAACTCAGCGGCAGCTTAGCTCTGGCCGGGCATTGAACCGCTGTTGCTCAGAGCTTGCACTCTTGAACAAGCGAGCTCTTAACCAGCT